CTACAGGTGCGTGCCACTGTGCCTGGCTAATTTTTAAAATTTTTTGTAGAGAAGGGGTCTCACTCTTGCTCAGATTGGTCTTGAACTCCTGGGCTCAAGCAATCCTCCCACCTCAGCCTCCCAGAGTGGTAGGATTACAGATGTGCGCCACCTTGCTCAGCTAATTTTTCTTTTTTTTCTTTTTGGTAGAGACAGGGTCTCACTATGTTGCTCAGGCTGGTCTCAAACTCCTGGCCTCAAGTGATCCTCCTGCCTCAGCCTCCTGAAGTTATTTTAAGCTTTTATGTGCATGATTATATTTAATCATTGTAACAGCACAGTAGGGCAGGAGTTTGGCCCATTTTACAACTTAGGAAACATAAGCTCAGAGAGTGGCAGTTATGTCAAAGGTCACACAGCTGATAAAGGGCACGGCCAGACCCAGATCTGTCCAGCTTCAAAGCCTGCGTTCTTCCCCCTAGTAGTAGTTTTTCCTGTTAGGGTAGTGCTTCAGGTATGACCTTTCTAGTAACACCTGAATAAGCACAGCCATCCCAAGTACCAAACAAGGAAATTGAGGCTCCCAGAAGTGAAATCCCTTCTTAATGTTGACATGTCCAGTTAGTGCCCCAGCTCTGACAGGAGCCTGTGTCTTCTGACACCCAGACGAGTGTCCCAGATTACATACCAAAAGACTAAATGTGTGCCGAGTGGCACTTCTGTTTCTTGTCCCTGAGCTGCAGGAGCAAGACCTCTTCAGTCCAAACTGGCAGGCCATTACCCGGAAGTAGTAGACATCCCTAAAAAGGGCAGAGAGCTACATCATGACAGGCCTGTGAGCAGGACCTGTGGGCACACATAGCCAGATCATGTGTGTGCTCAGTGTGGAAAGACTTACAGATCCCTCGGCTCTTTCTGTAGTCCACGTGGGGAACACCACCACCTTTATTTAACAGCAGGCACGAGCTTGGTTCACAGACTTTTCTAATTACTTCCTCCTCCCACTGCAATCCTCATGCCTGTGGCATTGCTGTTTTGACTCTGGTGCTTTTTCCCCGTCAAACTCTCAGCAGCCTCTTTGGGGCATTGTTTAGATGCTTCATATACTTTTTAGAAAATTGCTGTACACATCTGTGTTTTTTATTTTGAAGCTAGATACTCAGCTTCCTTCCTTATCCCCTTCTTTCCTTTCACCTAACTCCTATTCATCCTCAGAGGTCATTTCCTCAGGGAGCCCTCCTGGGTGGACCAAGCTTGGTTAGCAAGAAGGTCACCTCATGACGCTTGAGTTTCTATTCAGTACTCAGCGTATGCCAGCAAGCACTGGTTACCCTAGGTGGTTCCTAGTGAATAACACAAGTATAACAGCAGCTACCACTTACTGAATGTGTGCCTCATGCCAGGCATCATTCTGAATGCATCAGATTCATGTTACTACGGTAGTCCTCAAACCAAACCACCCCACTTGAGGGCAGGTTCGTTAGTATCTCTATTTCATAGAAGAGGAAACTTAAAGCCCACAAAAGTTAGGTGAGTGCGCCCAAGGTTGCACCACTGGTATGTGGCAGAATCAGGAAGTGAACCATCAGTCTGGCTAGAGGCCATGTTCTTAACCACTGCTGTGTACTTCTCTACAGTTTGGGGCCATGATTTGTGTGTCAGGCTCTGTTCTAAGGGCCTAATTAACTCAGTTAAACCTCACAGCAGCCCCAGGAGGCATAGGTACTGATGTTTCCTCTGTGCACAGTGATGTTGCCCAGGATCATCATGGTAAGTGGCCCAGGCAGAATTTGAACCAGGGTCCACCTGGCTCCAGAGCCCACTCTCTTAACCCTCTGCATCACATCACCTGTATTTGCTGTCTTTGATCTTCAGCCTAATAGAACTCTCTGCTTTCTGTTAGACCATTAGCTTCTCGAGGGCAGGGCCTGTATTTAGCCACCCAGTACCAGACTTGCCTTACAGTGGCATTCAGTAAGTGTGTCCCATGAATGAGTTACACTCAAGGGAGTAAAATGGAGTAGGTGCCTGTGTTAAATGCATAAACCTAGTTGAGGGAATCATTCAATCTGCTGAAAGTAAAGGAAAGAAGGAACAGCAAGTTTCCTCATTTTAAAAATTATATAATAAATGTCTTGCTTCATCATTAAAATTTCCACTCAGTCCAAGGGAAAGATGGATGGAGGAGAAGCTAGAGGAGGGAAAATGTGAAGTCCCATCATGAGCTCTGCCTCCGCCCTCACATTAAGGTTAGAGATGCTGATTATAACAAAAGCCTCCCATCACTCCACGCCTCATTAGGGATTTGGAAAATGCACTATTTAGTTGTGGTTGGAGTTAAGCACAGAAGGTTCTGCGATTCTTGCAGTAAAATCCAGCAGTCCGTGGTTAGGGTGCCATCTGGAGATGGCAAGTGGTATTACCACTCTTTCAGTTGCAAGTCAGGTCAGAATTCATCCTGCAAAATGCATTTCCTGTTGAGTCACTCGTGTCCCATTTCATAATTGTATCAGTGTTAACTTCATGCTTTGATCAAATCCGCAGTCATTGTTTTCTGTTTGTTCTTTTGAAAATGTTAGTCCTGCTTTGTATTCAGATAGTCAAGTTAAATTTGGAGTTGTTTTATTAATCATGAACCCTTGAATAAAAATAGGACATATCAGCTAGCATATAATGCTGGAGGGAGGAGCAGATGCCCACACTCTCCCAAGGGAAAGAGAGGCTTAGTTCAAAGTCTGTTTGGCAAGGAGAGGTTGTGGTCTGGGAGAGGGATGAGGTAGGTTACCTCTGCCTTCCATACTTGTTCACACCTGCCTTATTTGAAATTTGCTGAATGAAGAGGGAGTTCAGGAGAAACTAGGTGATGTCCTACGGTTGGGCCCTCAAAAGGAAGGCGTAAGGGGTTATATTTAGCCTGGGCAGAACTTAACTGTAAAAATGGATGAATCATTCAACTCATGTGTTTTTCCCACTCTTCAAGATGGCACATTTTCTTATTTTTTGCAGGACAACAGAACTGAGCAGAACCTCATCTAATCCAGATCTCTGCCTTCCACTAAGCAATTGAAAACAGGCAGTTGTTTGTCTCCTTAAAAATCCTCACAAAGGAAAATTCTATTTCTCAGTTGTTCCACTGTTGAACAGTGATTTCTCACTGGCCAGGTTTTAAGTTTTTCATGAGCTAGTTCCTTAAAATCTTTTTCTGATGGTAAATTTACTTATTTTAATCTTCATATAGAAAAAGATAATTATTTTAAACTTCGGCTTTTTTCCAAACTTAAATGTTACTTAATATCTAGTCTTCTATAGGGTTCTTGGTGCTACTCAGCTTACCTGTAACTAAGTCCTTTTCTTCTTAGAGGGTGTTTCTATTTCTTAACTTTTTAAAACCTTTGTCTTCCATTGTTAAACATAAAGTCTCTTGTTTCTTCTCCTGTGATGCTTTCCCTATGCCTTTCTCCTCCTGCTGCGCAGTAAGGTCCCCAGTTAGGATATGATGAATCTTTTGCATGTCTTCACCAGTCAAGAGAATTTTTTTTTTTTTGAAACAGCTTTATTGAGATAGAATTCATCCAAAGTGTACAAATTCACTGATTTTTAGAATTTCCACAGATATGTACAACTATCACCACAGACAACGTAAGAATATTTTCATCATCTTGAAAAGAAACTCCATAGCCTTTAGTTATCGCCCTCCTCCCCTGCTCCCCAGCACTGGGCAAACGCCAGTCTGCTTTCTGTCTCTCTGTATTTTCCTGTTATAGACATGTCACATATGTGGTATCCTACAATAAGTGGTCTTTGTTTCTGGCTTCTTTCATTTAGCATAGCGTTTTCAGGGTTCACCCATGTTGTAGCATGCACCAGTACTTCATTCTTTTTTGTGGCCAAATAATATTCCATTGCACGAATATGTGACATTTTGTCTAGCCATTTATCAGTAAATGGACATTTGGGCTGTTTCCACCTTTTGGCTATTATGAGTAATGCTGCAATGTACAAGTTTTTCTGTGGACATCTATTTTCATTCCTCTTGGATCTATTCCTGGAAGTATTGCTGGGTCATATGGTAATTCTGTGTTTAATCATTTGAGGAACTGCTAGACTGTTTTCCAAAGTGGCTGCACCGTTTTCGATTTCCACCAGCAGTGTCGCGGGCTCTGATTTTCTACAGCCCTGTCAACACTTGTTGTTATCTGTCTTTTTGGTTCTAGCCATCCTGGTGGATGTGAAGTCAGATCTTGTGGTTTTGATTTTCATTTGTGTAATGAATAATGTCAAGCATTTTTTCATGGCCTTTTGGCTATTTGCATATCTAAGAAATGTCTGTTTAGATTCCTTGCTCGTTTTCACATTGGGTTATTTGTCCTTTTATTGTTTTATAAAAGTTCTTTATTCTAGATACAAGTCCCTTATCAGGTGTATGATTTGCAAAGTATTTTCTCCCATTATGTGGATTGTTTTTTCACTTTCTTTATAGTGTTCTCTGAAGCACAAAAGTTTTTAATTTTGATGAGGTCCAATTTATCTGTTTTCTTTTGTAAGATTTATTTTCTATAGTACATGTTACAAAAACATTATATTTTCATTTTCTAAATGTAAAATTGTAGAAAATAATGTTTTAAAAACTGCACTGTCCCCTGAAGAACCACGGACTTAGCTAAGACTTTTCACTCCAATACTTCTTTCCATGAGTGCTTCAGTCATTTTGTGTTTTTCTTTCAATTTTTTGCATGCTTTTAACTGGAGAGTTTTGAACTTAACAAGAAATTTAAAATAAAATCCCAACTAATATTAAATAAAAGCCAAGAGGTAATGCTTTATAGCCCTTATCGATATCTTGACCTTTAATATCATATTACATTTTCAAAACAACTGAACCCCAGTCATTTCACAATATTCTGCCTTTTATGTAAATATCACTGTATGTTGTTTGTGTAAAGACTTTAAACTGGATGGCCACAGTAAATGTGATAATGAAAGGCAATAGCTTTCATATGGCTTTCTTTCTTCTCCAACAGGTATGGCAGATCCCAGAAAATGGACTCACCCTTTCCCTAACCGAACCTGTGGTGATTTTAGAAGGCCACTCAAAGAGAGTCGGCATTGTGGCTTGGCATCCGACGGCTCGCAACGTGCTTCTCAGTGCAGGTAGGGGCTAAGCAGTCCTCCCTTGGCCTGGCCCTCACTGCTCATGGCTCTCTGTGTAGGGGGAACAGCAAATGCGTTTTGATTGTGTGCTATACAGTTTTGAATCAGGTTATTAGGAAACTGTGGTGAGGAGCGTTGAGATTCAGTGTTTCCCCAGCCCATATGTGTGTTTGCACGCACGCACGTGTGTGTGTGTGTTTCAAGGCCACTTTGACAACCTGATGAAAGCTATGGGCTTTCAGCTTAGAAAAGCGAACAGATACATAATTTTTTGCCTGTAATTTCAGCAGGTTTATGGTTCCTGCTGTGGCCCTCCAGGAGCCACAGTTTTGGTTATTCCTGATGTGGTAGAAGGAATATCTGGTTGGGAGCCAGAGGCCCTGGGTTCTGTCTCTGGTGTTCCTGCCAACTTTTTGGGTGATCTCCATTTGGGCAAATACGCTCCTTCCTTTTAAAAAAATACTTTCATTTTAAGTAGTACCTGTATATTATAGAAAACAGATAGACAAGGGAAAAAAATAAAAATCACTTGTAATTCCACCACCCAAAGGAAAGATCATTATTACCATTTTGATACTTGTTTCCAGAAGATATTTCTGTGTGTGTGCATAAATTGTTTTACATACAGAGATGGTTCCATGCACTGTACACATGACCTGCTTTCTGCACTGGGTGGCACACTGTGATCCTTTTCATTAAATATTCATTAAATATGCCATTAATTAATGTAATTCCTACGTTATTCTTAATGACTCTATAATTTTCCATTGCCTGGATTTATCTCAGCTTGTTTACTCAGTTCCCTCCTTCTGGACTTTGATATTGTTTCTGATGGTAATGAACCCTTATGGCAGAGTACCCGTGTTCTTACTGGTTTCCCACTTGAGTAGTTTCTAAATTTATCTTACAGAAATCTTTTCCTTTGTCCAAAATTTGAGATTTTATTTTGTTTTATGAAACCAGTATATAGGGCACAAGGGAGCTTTGTGGGGTGATGGAAATGTTTTATATCTTGGTTGTGGTAGTGGCTACGTGAGTCAAAACTTATCAAATGTGTACTTAAAATGGGTGTGTTGTACGTAGGTTTTACTTTAATAAAATTAGTTTATGAAAAAAGCAATACTAGGCCGGGCGCAGTGGCTCACGCCTGTAATCCTAGCACTCTGGGAGGCCGAGGCAGGCGGATTGTTTGAGCTCAGGAGTTTGAGACCAGCCTGAGCAAGAGTGAGACCCTGTCTCTACTAAAAAAAATAAAAAGAAATTATCTGGACAACTAAAAATATATAGAAAAAAAAAAAAATCAGCCAGGCACAGTGGCTTGTGCCTGTAGTCCCAGCTACTCGGGAGGCTGAGGCAGTAGGATCACTTGAGCCCAGGAGTTTGAGGTTGCTGTGAGCTAGGCTGACGCCACAGCACTCACTCTAGCCAGGGCAACAGAGTGAGACTCTGTCTCAAAAAAAAAAAAAAAAAACAATACTAATATTACTGGTAGAATTTTTAAAGATTTTTCCCCTCATCAGTAAAAAGGATGCAGGCAGTTTAATTTTTAACTAGGAATAGAAGATGTTTATGACTTACAAGGGGCTAAATAAAATATTTAACGCCAGGTACCTAGAAACCAAGCACCATTTTTCAAAAAGGACACTCTGTAGGATACTGTTTCTAGAATCCCCATTGACTGTATTTGGGAACGCTTCTGGTGTTCCACTCAGAACCTGTCTGACAAGGAGAGAAAAAGAATTCCAGAGGTGGAATTCCGTCATGGAAAATTTCCTGCTACCTTCTCATGTAGGTTAAACATAGGGCAGCAGTAGCAGCTGATCCTGTTCTCCCTTTGACGAGCGAAGGACGATGGGTGATTGTCGTGTTCTGCATATTTTAAGACTACATGACCCATCCGCCCTGGCTGGAGTTACCTGTTTGCCCAAGAGGAGCAAGGCAGAGGAAGGGTCAATTCTTCATCCCAGAGCTTAGCTCCAACTTTCATACTGCGCTGCGGTTTGTCTCTAGTTTCCTACTTCTAGCCCCTTGGCAACCTAGGTATCCTGGGTACTAGTAGCTAATTTTTCCAAAACGCAAATCGCTTTATTGGCAAGAATTCACCTTTAGGATGTCCTTCCCTTAGTTTGTGCCATTCTTGAACTAATGTCCTGGAAACAACACGTGGTGCCTCTTTTTATAGAGGCCTGGGGGCTTGGGGCAGACCCTTGAAGGAAGAAGGATGGAGTTGACAGGCTGAGGGTGGTGGCTGAGTGGACGTTGTGGGCCTCCTGGGGATCAGTGTCTGAATCCACGTGCCTGCTTTGTTGCAGTTCAGGCTTCTCACCACCGTCAGGGCAGCCGTGGCCTATTTTTCTCCCTTTTAAAGATAGAGATCTGTTGTGAGCAGACAGGCCAAGTCCTCATATTTCCCTCCCCTTGTTGTAACTTAACCACACTTGAATACACCAAAGCTATGTCTTATAGCCCCACTGATTTGAATACCTACCACCCAAAGTTTTTGTTGAGTGTCCTAAACAGTTATTTAAACCCTTTATTTTTAAGTTCCTTTGGAAAAGAAATAAGCTGTATTCATTCTGATGCTTGTTTTACTAGAAAAGGAAACTTAAAAACATTTGGGTCCACCAGCCCGTTAACTCTTTAAAAAAACGTAGGATTCTATTTTGGTGTAGTGGTTTGTTTTTGTGTAGTTGTTTGTTTCATATGAACCCAAACTTAACAAGCTGTGTTTTTCCTTTAATACTTTTACTTCTTTTATGTAAATATTTTTTCTTTATCATTTTGGTTTTTAACTCCTAGTAAGTAGGGCCTCTTATAATCAACACCTTCTTTTCTACATATATGTATATCCTCATTGTATTTCTAGTTTTCTTGAATGTGTTGCACAGGTATTTCTAATCTTTGAGGGGCATGGTTTTGTCTGTCTCAGGCTGTGATAATGCCATCATCATCTGGAATGTGGGGACAGGTGAAGCCCTTATAAACTTGGACGATATGCATTCAGACATGATTTACAATGTGAGCTGGAACCGGAATGGCAGTCTGATCTGCACAGCTTCCAAAGACAAGAAAGTGAGAGTAATCGATCCCAGGAAACAAGAGATTGTTGCTGTGAGTATTCCGAGGACAAAAACCCCAGTAGCTGTAGCACTTCAGTGAGTGTGAACTTTCTGCTTTTTAAGGCAGGTGGCAGCACTGATCAGTGAGCCCTTGCTATGTGCAGACACCAACTGTAAGAAAAGGCACATACAGGCTTCTGTCTGCCTCCCCAATCACACTTCTCTCCAGAGTTGTACATTTCCGGCTTTTACTCAAGTCTTCTCTCATTTGGTTGCCATTTTTCACAAAGAAATAGTTTTTATCAGTTCACTGGAGTCCTTAAGAGTTAAGACATCCGGATCAGCTAAACCAGTTAGCTGCATTCCTGGTCTCATGGCTTAGTCCTGAATAATGATTAATTGATCCCCACCCTGTTCCAGAAACAACTGTTAGAGTTTCATCTGCCTTGCAGAGATGCAGCAGGTTCTCTCATCAGCTCAGAGTCTTCATTTCTGCCACCCAAACTGGGCCTCAACAAAATCACATATCCTGACAAAAGGTGGACTTTTGGGTCTTTAGTCAGGGTTGAAACTGCAAAAGTTGATTCCAAAAATGTCTCACTTCAGCCGCACTCTGAGGCCTCCCTGCGATGTGGTTGTTCTTTGGCAGCATTTCTTCTAAAGGGCCAGGCAGTGATCGTGGCTGGTGCTTACTGAGCACTGGGCACTTGCCCAGCCCTATGCAAAGTGCTTTACCCACCTAGAATGTTCCAAGGGTTGCTATTAGTGCACTCTTATTAAGTAAACAAATGAGATTAAGGAAGGGGTTAACTAGACTAGGCTTTGTTTTGTGCTATGATATTGGTAGAAACTGTAGGGTATATCCAACCTTCAGGTTACTATCCTCTTGAGAAACAAACATTTGGCAGAGGCCTCTCGTGTGTTTTATTTTTGCAGTGTGTGGACTTGGGTTGGCAGCAGGATGTGGTGGAAGGAGTGAGGCTTTTGAGCCAAATCCTGGCTCTCTTGCCAACTAGCTGAGGGCCTTGAGCAGATAGATCACTTGATCTCTGTGTTTCCTCATCTGGGAGAAGGGGTGGTTGACACTGACTCCCTCCAGGTGAACGTGAAGGGCATGTGGGTCTGAGGTCGGGCTCGGCGCTCGCGTCTCCCCACTCACCTTTCCCGCCTGCAGTTTGGATGTGTGTGACATGCCTTTTTGCTTGCTCTCTCCCAGGAGAAGGAGAAGGCACACGAAGGGGCGAGACCCATGAGAGCCATCTTCCTGGCTGACGGCAATGTCTTCACCACTGGTTTCAGCCGCATGAGCGAGCGGCAGCTGGCGCTCTGGAATCCGGTATGCCCCTTCTCAGCCTTCTGCTTGCTTTCTCTAGAGCTTTCTCTCTGATCTGAGCAGGTTTTCGTGTTGGTAAGTAGATTATAGGATTTTCAGTGTAGTTTTCTAAACTCCTACTTGTCTTAAATTGGATGTGGATGTGAAGTTCTTATCCTCACTGAAGACTTAATGGTAAATGTATTTCAAAAACACACTGTTGATACTCCCCAGGAATCTATATTGACTATATTTTTGAAAAAGAATATACAAGAAATCCTGTGTTTTAGATTTGGGAAATAAGTTCTAAACTTAGTTATATTTCATAAAGAATATGCTCAAATGTCTGAATCGAAATAGTCATGCTTGGGAAAATGACTTAATCAGCATAAGTGGGGGAAAAGTACTAAACTGTATACGTGACATGATCTCAGTCTGTGTTGTGTACATGTGTAGGAAAGAAATAGACCTCAATGGTAATAGCTTCTGCCACCCACTGGGGTACAGAAGTGTGGAATATGGGAGGATCTTTATGTTCTTCCTTATATCTCTTAACTTTTTAAAAGTACATATATTTATTTTATAATAAAAAAGTACTTTTAAAAAAGAAAATAGTCACAAAGGAGAAGGGCCCTTTCATCTTTGTCATGGAATCACACTAATGGATACATTAATTATGTTGTCAAATCAACACAATTCTCGGTGGGTTGGATCCCGTTTCCTATCCCTGTTGGTATTTACATGTATGAATGTTGTATATGCAAACTTTCATTATTCTAGGAAAATGGCTCAATTAGGGACAGAAGAATTTACAATAAGGTTATAAAAATTCATCTTAAGAATGTATGCACACATACACATTTTATATATTTAAAAAAAATTTTTTTTTTTTTTTTTTTTTTGAGACAGAATCTCCCTGTATTGCCCGGGCTAGAGTGCCGTGGCATCATCCTAGCTCACAGCAACCTCAAACTCCTGGGCTCAAGCAATCCTTCTGCCTCAGCCTCCCGAGTAGCTGGGACTACAGGCATGCACCACCATGCCCGGCTAATTTTTTTTCTATATATATAATTTTAGTTGTCCAGATAATTTCTTTCTATATTTTTAGTAGAGACGGGGTCTCGCTCTTGCTCAGGCTGGTTTCGAACTCCTGAGCTCAAACAATCCGCCCGCCTCGGCCTCCCAGAGAGCTAGGATTACAGGTGTGAGCCACCGCGCCCGGCCAAAAAATTTTTTATATTTTTTTTTTCCCAGAAAAATATGCAGGAACCCATCGCTCTTCATGAGATGGACACTAGCAATGGAGTGTTGCTGCCTTTTTATGACCCGGACACCAGTATCATTTACTTATGTGGAAAGGTAAGCAGTAATTGTGATGTTTGATAGTGAATTTAATCCTATAAGAGGAAAAGTTAGTCCTACCAAGATTTAAAAGGTGGGCAACATACTGTATCTCTTAAATTTTCCTAATTTGTGTGTGTGTGTGTGTGTGTGTGTGTGTGTGTGTGTATGTGTCTTAAGCTAAGGACAGATAATTTCAATATGTTTTAGGACTTCAGACTGGACTGTTTGCAGCTTGCCAGTTGTGCGGTAATAACGTGCCGTGTTCAGTACTTTAGACCAAAGTAGGGATTGGGCTGGGGTGTTAGGGCTAGTGCTTCACTCAGGGAAGTCTAGTGAGAAAAAGAGGACATGTCTTCACCTAACAGTACTGCCTGATTGGTGATTTTAGATTTATCTGAACTGATATCGGGGATGAGATGAATAACCAGGTGGCCATATCTCACGCTGAAATTTGTCAGATAACCCTACTGAACATGTATGTACTTAATACTGCGTGTGATGGACCTATAAAGAGAATGTGCTTTGTGGATGCGAGCATTTCAGGGCCTCAGAGACTTTGCAGAGGGTTGTTACTCTTGGAGTTCAGCGTTAGGGCTCTGGGCTTGAAGGCATGTGGCCTGACTAAAGTGTCAGGGTGACAGCTGTTATAAGAAGACTCCGCATCAAACTGCTCCCGCCTTTTGCTCTCAGCCTAACTAGACTGTTGGTAGCTTTATTATCATTTCATTTTTGTGGGTGGTAACTTCAAAATGTCTTATTATTTTGTAGGTTCAATTTTGCTTAGAACTTTTAGTAGTTGAAATAAATGAATTGATAAAAATGGAGCTGTTGATGTATTCCCCAAACTTGTTAGATAGCCCTTTGCTGTGCAAAGCTGGTGATGTTTTACTTTTCATAGTTGAAGGAGTGTGCTGCAGACCTGCTGTGCGTTCTTATAGGTCATTTCCTTAGAAACTGAGATCTTGTCTGTTTCCTTGGGAGTCATTTTACTGATGTTAACAGCTGTTAAGTGCATGCACCTTACCGTTGTTGCCATTGACCGCATCAAAACAAACACAATGAGCAGTTACCCAGATATTATTAACACTAGGTAGAAAGTTATTTTGGGTATGCAGAAAATGACTAGTATGTGTTCAGCTTCTTTTCCATTGCCTTAGGTATCTGAAGTCACTAAGACAAATGGAAATCTTGAGAACCATTCTAAGCAAGATCAGAATTTTATACATTGCAATGAGATGGCACTATTTTCTGAAGTTAACGGATTCTCACTGAAACTGAGTTGCTTAATTAGAAAAATCTCACTTTTTATTGTCATCTGAGTGCATGGTATTAGTGCCTGTGAGTCTGTGACTGGTGCTGCACTGTGCCAGTGGCGAATACTTGTCAGTAATTGCACTCTCAGCAGTCCTCCTGGCCTTTGTTTGTTTGTTGAAGTTGAAGAGCAATGCGGTTGTTTGGCGGAGGCATTGACATCTTTGTCCTAACCCTGGCCTTGTGTCTTAGCTCAGGAGAGTAACACTAGAGCCTGCAGTAGGAGGCCAAGGAGAGCACTGAAGGGGCATGCTAGCATTTGACAGTGAGGGCTTGCTGTGTGAGCAAAGAGACTGCCGTGGGCTTTTAGGCAAGCCTCTTTATGAGGAAGAAAAGGTCAGCTACTGAAGTGGGGTCCCAGCTAATGCTGGGTTTGTAGAGGAGAGAAACACTACTCAATCCAGCTGTTTCACTTTACATCAAACACAGACTTGTCTTTGATTTCTTCTAGGGTGACAGCAGTATCCGCTATTTTGAGATCACGGATGAATCCCCGTATGTCCACTACCTCAACACATTCAGCAGCAAGGAGCCTCAGAGAGGAATGGGTTACATGCCCAAGAGGGGACTCGATGTTAATAAATGTGAGATCGCCAGGTAAAGAATCAATGTTGTAAAGTATTTCAATTGTTTATGCCATCCATGTAGGACCAGAGCAAGACAGCTCCAAGCAGTTCTGTAATGCCCAAGTCTTTCTCCCCCCGTGTGTGGTGTGGAATTAGTATCTCATTTCCTGCCCATACCGCTGGAAGTGCAGCAGTTAAGTAGCGTAGCTGGAGGTGTATTGCACACTTAGTGAAATGGTGAAACCTTCTTTGATCTTCAAGCTGAGGCTGTGGCCAGTGTTCCCCGGGGGAGGCGGGGGGGCAAGCAGAGGAGAGCCTGGCTCAGGCATGGAAAAAGGAGTGGATTTTCCTGCTCTATCAGGGGAAGAACCAAATTCCAAACTGGATTGTGGACCCCACTGGTTCTAAACTAGAGAAACCAAAGATCATCCTTCCTTGGGGTGATGGGTTAGCTTGACTTAGAAAGTTCAGCAATGTTATATATAATTTCTGCCTTTCTGTGCTACACATTTTAAAAAAAATTTGTATGCTGTAATGCTTGTGGGCTTCCTAAGGAACAGGCTTTTTTCTCATGCTGGTCCACAAAAGATACCCCATGAGACTCGGTGACCACTGACCTTTTCAAACAGCGGAATAGCTAGCACCACGTTATCAGAGATAAGATCACACCACACGTTTGTGTAAGACTGTGTTTATATGGACTTTTTAAAAGTTTGATGTTCTGGTCAAAGAAGATTCTGATTAAAGAATTGATATTTATATCCTTCAAAATAAAAGGAAAATAATTTTTGTATTTACCTCCATGGGTTTTTAAAAAATAGCTGGTGTAATGAAGGAAAATTGTCACAGATAATTTAAAGTTGTGGTATAAACCAAACTAATCAAAATGTGGTTCACGATAGACTGAATCTGAGTTTAAAATTACATCTGGTATTTTCGGAACACAGTTATTTTACTGTCATCCAAAAGTTTAAAAAACTAAAAGCATAGTTATTCAGGATACCTCCTATTTCCTAAGTGTTTGTTGAGCATTTACTATGGCAGGCACTGTGTTAAATGTGTTACATGGGTTACCTCTTGTACTTCTTGTCACAATCCTATGAGGTGGGTGTTATTTTTATCTCCATTTTATGGATGAGGAACTTGAGGCTTGATGAAGCTGTCACACTCCCAGGGGCTGTAGTAGCAGAGCTGGAAGTCAAACCCAGGTCAGTCACTGCTACGCTGACTGCAGAGTTTTCATTAAGTCAGTCTTTAAAAATGTTTTTGGTTTGTCTGGGACTCTTTTTGGCTGAAATAGTCAATAGGCAGGTTTGGCACTTTCGTGCTTTCCGAGAGGACTGTGGCTTTACAAACGCCTTTACCAACCTGAGCTCCACTCGGCTTTTGTTCCCCGGGTGCGCTGGAGCAATGTAGCTTTCGGGCCGTCTTGACCAGATCCATGCCCAGAGCGCGTTACCCATTTTCAAGTGCCAAAGGCTGCAGGTTCCCAGGAGAAACAAATTTCACTGGCTTTGGGTATTTGAGGTGGCAGTATGTCCTCTGACTTAAACTCTTGAAATTCAGAGGCCACTTCCCCAGTAGCACTTATGCCTATGCTTAATTCCCCCCTTGCACACTGGCCATTTGACTGGTGATCTGGCCAAAATGCTTACTAAGGCCACCTCTCTTGCCAAGAGCTTCAGAGAATTTTTGATTATTCCCCATCCTGACTGAAAAAAAAGCACCTTGGCCTTATCAGGGTCATCATAGAAGAAGTAGTTTCTGGTTTTTTTAGTCCTGTTGTAGGGTGCAAATAAAAGTGTTATCCCTTTTTTCCCCAATTAGAAGCTGTTTACATGCTCTTTCCTATTACAATGCAAGTTGCTTTCCATTCCCGCTCTTCCCGTATTTTGGATAATTTCACATTTTTCTTGAGTATTATGCATGATGTGGTTTATTTGGATGCCAGAATGTTAATTCCTAGGATTGTTTCCTTTTCCTTTTAAAAATCATATTTAGAAATCAGGACAGGCAGGGACAAAAATTTTTTTAAAAATCCTATTTACACTTACAAGTGTTCAGCCACCACAAGCTTGCTAAGACCTGGTATCTAGGCTGTAGATACTTTCTAGTAGATGTGTGTTGTCTTCTGTCTGTTGACATGGTGATGTTTTCACAAGTGAATCGTTATCAGTGTTGCTATTATTTCTACCCCAGTCGATCTGCCCCCAGATAATTGGAATTTGACTGTCATCGCACTATATAGACCTCTGTTTGTGGTTCCTGTCTACAATCTGCCATTTCCTAGCATAGGTACCCTGGGCTTCTGTTTTCTCATCTGTCAAATAGGAACACTTTAAGTTCTACCTACTCCTAGGGTGGATCAGATGAGGTGATGGATAAAAAAATCACTTTATAGCCCATATAGCATTGTAGAAAAGGAGTTATTAATCCTGTTACTCAGCCTCTTATTTCACTTCATGTGACTTTGCCTGTATTTCCCCTTTGAAGATTCTTCAAACTTCATGAGAGAAAGTGTGAGCCTATTATCATGACTGTTCCCAGGAAGGTGAGTGCCCAGTTTTTTAGACAATCCATGTTTTAAAAAAATTAAAAAAACTAAAATAAAAAATCCCAGACTTTTCTTCTGTACCCTAAGGGTTTCCCCTCAATGTTTCTTGTAGTCTGACCTTTTCCAAGATGACCTGTATCCTGACACGGCGGGGCCAGAGGCTGCGCTGGAGGCAGAAGAGTGGTTCGAGGGGAAGAACGCAGATCCGATCCTCATCTCTTTGAAGCACGGGTACATTCCAGGCAAAAACAGGGATCTCAAGGTGGTCAAGAAGAACATTCTGGATAGCAAGCCAACGGCGAATAAGAAGTGCGACCTGATCAACGTCCCTAAGAAAACCACAGACATGGCCAGTGTGGTAAGGACACAGGCGTTTGAGGCACACGCTTGGCTGGCTCGGGCCTTGTCCTCTGGAAAGCCCTTTACCGTGCAGAGCATTGGCAAGTGCTGTCCCGCTGTGGGCACATGGGGGTTTCCAGTGCACGGCAACCTGTATTACATGTAAGAAAGTCCTGGGGCATGTGACGTTGGTGAGTTTGTGGTCATGCTTGTTCCTTTACCTCTGTTTTTTATAATGCCTGGAGGAGTTGTCAGTCTACTGCCATTTCTGAGTGTGAACAGGAGCCTCTTGGGTTTTTCCTGTCTTTTACCAAACTGGTTAAACCCATCTCTGATTTGGATAAAAGGAAACACAGATGTGTGGGGTCACAGGTGCCAAAAGAGAATGTCCCCAGAAGGAGGGAGTGCTAAGAGTGTTCGGGTGTTGCTGAGTGGCCAAGTGACAGAAGGATCCGGCAGTGTGTGGGGCTAGCCGCAAAGATGATTTTGGCAAGAGCCATTTGGGTGGGATGATGGGAACTGAGCCTGCATTAAAGACCCGCCACGGCCACTGGAGAGCTCCTCTGCTGCTGGAAGAGCAGGTCCAGGGGAGGAGAGGAGCGAGCAGACAGGGCATGGGAATTCCCTCCCAGGAAGGAGCCTCGTAGCAGGCGGTAGGAGCTCCGTGGCCTCTGGAAGTCACCCTTAACCCTGGTCAGACAGAAGTTACTCTTGATGGAGCCTTGAAGGAATCTGGTCCTATGATATAACTGTTACCTGAGAGTCTTTGTCTGGGTGAGTGCCCAGGCACGGGGACGAGAATAGCACTGCAGTACACTGCTGTCTCGCTCAGGGGTTTCAGACGGATTGACCAGCTTTAATTGCGTTCTCATAAGTCCTAGATGCCGTAGGTTTCGACATATCTTTTCAACTTGGTGACTGTGGCTTGCCATTTGCAAAATAGAAAATTACATTTTATGTCTTAAAAATTCTGAACTGTCTTGAAATTTGTTTACTGCTCTTCAGTCACTGACCTCTCTTTTGTTTGTTTTCTTAGCAAAATGAAGCCAAGTTGGATGAGATTTTAAAAGAGATCAAATCTATAAAAGACACAATCTGCAATCAAGATGAGCGTATTTCCAAGTTGGAACAGCAGATGGCGAAGATAGCAGCCTGAAGGTCCCACCCCCACCCCTGTAAAAAACGGGAGCAAGAACTCGTGCTTGGTAGCTGGTTGTTGGTGTGGTCCCAGGGAGGGCGAGGGGAGGCACTGCCATTTGGAGACATTCCATTTCAGATTTGTCAACCAGCGATAGGCCACATTCCAGTAAGAACTCAATTTGTCTCCCAAATTTGCAGAAACAAAACGTGATTTAAAAGCTGAGCTTTTTATCAGAAAGCTTTTTTGATGTTTTAAGTGTTACGTGACTTGTTGAACTTTTAAGAGACAAAAGTGCTACTTTTAAAATCCCAGATATTCTGAATTTTAGAAAACAAACCAATTCTGATTCAGTGTCGTGCCCAAGTACCTTTTTTTTTTTACAAATAGGGACCAATGCCACATTGCTTTTTATATTTCTTTCTTTTTTTAATCTTGCCAAAACCAAAAGTAGCTTTTTTTTCTTTGTATTTTGCTACTTTGCAGTATTTGTGTGTGGTTTTTTTTCTTTAATTTGAAAGGGACAGCACTGTGTATGTTTATAAACTATATGAAGATAAGATATTATTTTGTATGAACATTCATCTGAGAACAATCAGAGCAGCAGCCACATGGTGCTGGCTAATTTGCAGCACAAAGCCAGTCATCTTAATGACTGTACAAAAGGAAGACTTGAAAAAATCACGTGGATTCATATTACTACCCCTCATTTCACTGAGTCTTCTGATCAAAAAAGCTCACATCGTATCTCTTCCTTTCTTTCCTTTCTCTTTCCTAGAAATTGGGTGGTTGTACCAGAATGGAATTTTGCTTCTTGGTTATCCTGTGCTTCTGACGATTATAATCTAACCCAAACTAGCATGTGTTTCTGCAGTTTTGTTACACATATAGGATCTATTGCCTTCATCACTGTAAACATCATGTTTCAGGTTTTGGTCAATACTTGACAAGGGTGCCCAGGACAAGAAGACACATACCTTGTTGAGAGTATCTTCTTGCCCTTTTCCGCAGCTTGCCTAGCTCTTGAGTACAGTGGTGAGGACTGAAAACAAGGGAACTTGGGAGGGAGCATTTGCCTGGGGTGATCCTCTGTCTTCCTGTGTGACCTGTGCTGTCCCCGGCTGTGCTGGAGGAGGAGGTGGCTCTCCTCCCACCAACAAAGCTCCTGCTCTACCCTCTTCCTCACATGTGCTGCGACCTCTCTCAGGGCTCCCCCAGCCATTCCTTCTCTCTTTCCTGCCTTTCAGCCCTACTCATGTTCAGGTAAGATGAGGCCAGAAGGTGCTATTGAATATTGAGACTGAGGAATGATCTAGAATGAAGGAAAAACAGAAGCGCAGACCTCTGCTGTAGCTTTAATGTGTACAAACATGTCCCTTTGCATCCTCCACACAGACTAATCTGTTCCGCCTCTCCAGCTCACACCGAGGCTGTGTCAAAACACAGAGGCTTCCTGGACCCAGAGGGGGGCCAGAGACTGAGCTCTGGTCACCTGCTCATTCCTAGGTTAGCTAGTACTTCGCCCCACTTCCAATTTCTCATACTGCATGCTTGAGGAACAGGATTTAAGGAGCCTCTGCTTTGGAAGGGCCGAACGTCCGCGATTGCAGGCGAAATGTATAGTGCCGTTGGGACCACAGCGGGAGCTCTCGCGCATGCCCGTGCTGGTGTGGGCATGGACTGGCTGGAATGTGGCGACAGCAGGTCAGAAGGCACAGCTGAACTAGGGGTGATGTCCGTGTAGAAAAGGTACCATGTTCTTAACCAACTGATACTAGGATCGCTGTCTCCACGATTTCAGGGCATCTGAATGTTGGATGTGGTTTTGTGCGTATGTACGTATGTATGTGTGTGTTTTTAATATTGAAGTGGATAATGAGATGTAAAGAAAATAATTACAACGACTTATATTCAAGCCTGCATTTGTTTCTTTATCAACGTAATCTGCTGAGGACCTTCGTTTCTAAGATTCGGAAACGTTTTAGGGTTCTGATATCAAATTAAGTAAACAGAATTGGTGGTGGTGGTGTGAAACACTGTAGGGAATGTGGTCGGAGAGAAGCGGAAGGCAGGGAAGAGTCATCCTGATCTTAGGCTGTAGCTTAGGACTTACCTAATGAGTGATGCCCAGCCAGGCTCGTAGGCGCCTGAAGCATTGTGGATTATTTCTCCTGTTTTGTCCTTTTTTTTTTTTTTTTTTAAAGCCGTGACATCCCAGAGGAGGACAGTGAATTACTCCTAGATCGGCTCTTATAGAGCGGCTATAGTATTCTGTCAAAACACTTGCTTCCATTTTCAAAGATAAAAATCATTGATTACAAAATGGTGTCCGTGTTTATTTCATACCCCTGCTGTCTCTGAGGCAACCCACACCGCTCTGCCTGACGCAGTAGGTGACTTTTTCCTCCCTGAGGGTAAGTACAGGGAAGTGTGGGTGGGGGCTCAGCTCGAGCAAAGGGGACAATCGCATGGGGTCCAGCAAAGGCAAGTGCTATGTCCCTGATTCCAGCAGACCTGGATGTTTGGATCCTGCCTCAAGCCTCTGCCTGCAGTGTGACCTGCGGCAGGGTTCCTAATCCCTCTGGGTCCCTTTTCTTATCTTGAAGGAAGGATAATAATTCCATAGTTTAAATGAGAGAAATACCATTTCTGGCCACACAAGTAGCCCTCACTGCATGGCCACCATTGTTACCACAATGAGCTGGTTTCCTGACGGGGCCTTTGGAAGCACTTTTTCTTCTGTGGAAGTGAAATGCTTTTGGCCCAGCTGTGAGCTTTATTCCAGCAGAAGGTTTGCAGGGTCAGTTGAATTGCGTGGCCCCTTTTTGGCTCTCCTTTTGCACTATGACATTGTTTTGTGACATTTCAGTGATTGTAGCAAAGAATTTCCCACTGTTTGCCTTTTCTAAATGTTTATGAAAATGATGAGTAAGCAGCAGAACCTCCCCCTTTTCAAATACCTTATCTTAAAGTTGCTTCAGTCCATGAGAACAACAGCAGCCAGGTTCCTGGTCAGCTGTGGCTGCAGGAAGTAGAAGTTGGCAGATGCTCTCTGTAACCCGAGGCGCCCACAGTCGGGGGGAGACTCGTGGTGGTCTGTTTATAACTGACTTGTTTTCCGACTTGGGCCACCTTGATTCTTTGCCAGGAGACCTAAAGATCCGCGTGCTAGCCCCAGACGGCCAGCCAGACCTCGTCTGGGGAGAACTTCCATTTTTTTAAAGGTTACTTCCCTTGCTGTACTTGATGTTCTGTGTCCAGAAAAACTTTTTGTTGGCTCTTAACAATTCATTAACTCTAAGTGGCCCCTTCTTTTCTGCTGGCACATTAAAATATCCTAGTGCCATCATTGGTGACAGACGGGAGTCATTGTCAAGGATGCACCTTTCCTGCGTGGTGCAATATTCGGTGTCCAGCCTGGCCAGTGCTTTTGTTCTTTGTGCATTAAAAGGAAGTCCCCCCCTCCTAAGAATGCAGGGTGCAAGAGGGGCTATGTGCAAAGTAGTCGGCCTTTCTGGAGGGCATTCTGACAGGTGTGTCAAAAGTCTTACATGGGCTGGACTTGGGGGCTCACACCTGTAATCCTACCACTTTGGGAGGCTGAGGCATGAGGATTGCTTGAGGCCAGGAGTTTGAGACCAGCCTGAACAACATAGTGAGACCCCTCTCTGCAAAAAACAGGAAAATTAGCTGGACGTGGTGGTGTGCCTGTAGTCCCAGCTACTCGGGAGGCTGAGGCAGGAGGATGCCTTGAGCCCAGGAGTTTGAGGTTGCAGTGAGCTATATAATAGTGCCACTGCATTCTGGCCTGGGTGACAGAGTGAGACCCCATCTCAAAACAAACAACCAAAAAAGTCTTAAATATTCTTACCTTTTGACCCAAGGTTTTCACCTCTGGGAATTTTGTCCCAAGGAACTAGTGGAAAATATATTCACAAATTAGAAAGTAAAATCAGTATAGAAGGGGATTGGTTAAGTTACTTGTCACATTCATGTGCTATAATACTGTATGGTTATTTACAATCATTTAAAAAGTTTCTTATTCAATAGAATAGGAAACATTTAAAAACAGATGATAAAATACAGTCGATTCCAACTTGTGTTTTTAAAATATGCCTACCTAGGTTAAAGCGTGAAAGTATACTATTTCTGGGTGTTAGACATCCACCACCAAGTTTTCCTGGATATTCCAAGTGATCTGTATTACTAATATCAGAAAAAGGAAAATTTGTGTTTAAAAAATAATTCTCACCAACTCTCTCTCCCATGGAGTTACTTCGTGGTAAATGATGTTAGTTGGCTTATCTGTTCAAAATGAAGATAGAGAATTGTGAAGTCCATTACACTTCATAACATAAAAGACCAGAGTTTCTAGCCAGAAATCCAGACATCTTAGCTCCATAATCGTGAATATGTGTAAAACAGAGTAACCATCCCAGAATATATTGTTTTTGACAAAC